GTAACAGAACAGCTTCAGGTTATCGAAATAACAATGTTAAGGAAACTCTTATCTCAGTCATGCATAAATATGCAGTGATATGGCAGAAGACACCAGAGCAGATGCAGAGAGCCATTTTGTGAATGGATTGGATTATTTAATAACATTACCTTACTGTGGAGGAAGGATTGTAAAAAAAATGCCTTTGAGACAGTTTCTTAGCTTTTTAATTGTTGTTTCTTTCTAGTGGTCTTTGTAAGAGTGTAGAAGCATTCCTTCTTTGATAATGTTAAATTTGTAAGTTTCAGGTGACATGTGAAACCTTTTTTAAGATTTTTCTCAAAGTTTTGAAAAGCTATTAGCCAGGATCATGGTGTAATAAGACATAACGTTTTTCCTTTAAAAAATTTAAGTGCGTGTGTAGAGTTAAGAAGCTGTTGTACATTTATGATTTAATAAAATAATTCTAAAGGAAATTGTGTAATTATAGACTTTTTATTTTAAATAAGTTAAGGAGTGGGTAGTATAATTAAGGTCCATTGCAAAGTTGTTGTTACATTTGTGTAAGATAAATGCTGGTCAGATATAAGTGTGTTGTCTGCAATTCATCAGGATTAAATTATCTAGATAACTTAAGGGATATCTCTGCAAGGAGAAACACCTTTTTAGATCTTTTAGATGCTGCTTCTTCAATGCAAGGAAAGGAAATAACCCCAGCGAGGTACTCTACAGGGACACAGGTCTAGTACAAGAGAACTCTTGACGGCTACTAAGTTCAGCCAGTCTTAAAAAACTGTGCTGTTTCTACAAAGCTTTAACTACAGTAGTTTATAAGGATGCCAACGAAAGCTGAGGGTGTAGAGCAAAGTAGTTCTAAGCTTCAGTTAAACTTCTTTAGGTAAGATCATATTTACTTTTTCTTTCTTAATTTTCCTCCCTAAAAGATTAATAACTCTTCAATGCTCTTTCAGTATAGTGGTTCTTATGTAGTTTAACATAGCTACAAATTGAGTTTAACAATTTATAAACTCAAGAGAATATTTAATAAACCCTGTTTTCCAATCTGTCATTTACTTAAAATTATTTTGGTTGTTTTTCCCTTTTTTTCCTTCTTTCCCACCCTTTTCCTCTCCATGAAGATTCAGGTGCTTAACATATCATTTTTTTCCCTGCTGGAATTTTAGCATTGATATGAACCATGGACAAGTATATTCTGCTGCCACAAAGACTGTAAAGTGCTTCATTTCAACAGCTGAGGCAAGCCAAGTGATCATTAATAAAGCTTTTCTTGGTTCCTTCAGTGGTGTTGGTAGTAAAATGGTAGGTAAAAGTTAGGCTGAAAGTTGAATAAATCAGATTTCCTGTCATTACACCCTTGTGTATTCACATTTCTTGGGTCAAGCATTTTGAATGAACTAGGGTTTTTATTAAAATGGATATTGTGTTCTATTACTTTGATTCTAGCTTTACATAATCAGGATCATGGTCACCTAGAAGGTAGGGTGAAATGGTTGGATCTATTTTCAGAAAATAGTTTATACTTACAAGTGAAGTTCCTACATTATAAATCTTGTATTTATTCATTATTAAATGGCCAGGTGAAAATACTAATTCTTCCCCAGTGTCTTATTATAAACAGAACTGTAGGTTGACTGCTGAAATTAATTTCTTACTACTCAAATTTCCTGGCTTTATTGCCTTTTCAGGATTGTAATATTCAGGGCTTATTCTGTATGCAGCAGAGAGTCTTTTTTTGATCCTAAGACCACCACTGAAGTTATTTAGGTTCTTTGGACAAACATGATAAACTTCTTCAGATACTTTTTTTTTCCTTTGGCAGGAAGGTGTCTTGCTGCAGGTAACTAATGAAGAAGTGGTCAACCACAGAGTCTTCAAGAAATAAGAAATTCTGTACCATCTGAAAGTAGTTCTTGTTGGTGCCTTCATTTAAGAAGCACTCTCTTAAGATTAAAGGGAAATGTTTTTTGATAAAAACAAAAATTTGATTTTAGTACAGGTTCTTGATAAAAAATGAGTGTTTGTAAAATAACATCAGTTAGAGATAAATGTATCATGTTTTAAATTAGGTTTTGTGAATAGACAGATTTATTTTAAATATAAAATTTATAAAATAAATACTTTTATATGCAAATACTTGGTGTAATGCTTACACATGAAATATGTGAAACTTGTTCTATCAACATGCAGCTGTCTACAAGATTGCCATCCCCTAAATTTTTAAAGCAGTTTTCACAAAACTATGCGTATTTTACTTTTTGAATATTAAGAATCAAATGAGAAAAGCATTGTGGACGTTATTTACTGTCCCTAATAAAATGCTATTCTTTATGCACTGTATATTCAGTGTTTGAATACTGCTAGTTTGCTGTATCTTTGATATTGGTGGTGGCTTTTGAATTGATGGATTTTAACCAGCTAGTGCTCCATAAACAACTTTGTGCTAAACACAGACAAAATTGGACAGTTTGTCAAATGTCAGTCAGTCCGGTTGCAATTTACACTTTACATGTGAACATCAGTCGTTACCATTGGACTAGAGCTTTCTGCGTTACATTTAGTAATGGGGACTGTCTAGGTGTTTGACTTAACATAAGGGTGAACAAAGTTGTAATTTCTTTTGGTTTTGAAAATGAGATTGCTCTAAGGTAAGTCAAATAACAGTACTATGAGCTTGTATTTGAAATAGGTGCATCTGTCATCAACTGCACTTGTCAGAATACTTGGTTTCCTGTAGCGACATTTTAACTGAAGAAACCAAACTGGTCTAATAATACAGGTGCAAGATACTCTGTTCTTAAAGTCATGGGAATATTGTAAATAAACTAGGTGTTGACAGTGAAGTAACTGGGTTACTGGAGATAAAGGCTTTTTATGGTCGGTAATGTTGGATAGTGAACACGTAAGGTGCTTTTTCCCGTTACAAGAAGAAAGGGAATGACTTTGTACACCGTGGTATGGTATGTTTCTTTCCTTCAGGTTTAACACTACTACTGAGCCTCTCTACAAGCAACAGTACACTTGCTTTGCCTCTGTGAGTTCATTCACTTGGAGGTGTAGCTGTCATAAAGGACAGGTTGTAGAATTTACATCCAAAAATAACATAAGAGGCTGTAAATTAGCACTTGGCTTTCCCCGGAGTTATGATCCAACATTGATCTGATGTATTTACTGTGAGTGCAAACATTGGGAGCTAGCTTTGAATGCAGTTCTGTGTACAAATGTGAAAAAAAATCTTTACTCCTGTGGTTTTTTATATCCCTGTTGGGCTGACCAAGTCATGTTTTGTTTAGTTTTTTGGTAGGGGGGGATCAAACCTTGTGCTTGCGAGGCATGTGGTGGCACCACTGAGCTAAATCCCCGGCCCAAGTCATGATGTTTTAGCCTGATGAAATCGTCAAAAAAAAAAAAAAAAAAATGTCAGGACACCTAAACCACGTGTTCTGCCCTTGTCCAGTTTGAACATTAGGAACTCCCATCTAGGTGGCTATTTGACAGCATGCTTATACTTAATCTAATAATTGGTGCTTTAGGCTGCAGTTTACGTGGGGGCTGGAGGACTTAAGGGTGCTGAAGTAGACAGGCAAGGTAAGTGGAATGAATAGTGCTGTGGCAGGGTGTGCGGTTGACATTTTTAATAACATCCTAAATGACTCAGCTCCTTACGTTCTAGAGGTCAATCAGGAAACATTTCACCAGAAACAAACTGATTGCACCTTTGAGGGCAGTCACTTCGGTGTGTTTGTGTATTGGTAGGAAATGAGGATTTTAAGAGGGATACAGTTGCTGTGTGGACTGCTAAATTAAGATTCCACTTGCCTAGAATTTTGTGACATGAACTTTAACAACAGTGAGCACTAATTTACATTGAAGGTCAGAATTTAGTGAGCTTATGTTACAAAATGCACTTGAACACAACTATAAATTACAAACCAGTTAGACAAATGTGCCTGAGATTTTTTAGTGAACTAGGCGAGGGTTCTAGCTAGCAAATAAACTTAGGTCCTAAATCCAGGATGCGTGGGTATAAAACTCATCCAGGAGCTAGCCATTGTGCAACTCTAATCTCTTGATACTCAGAAATTTATGAATACACTTGGCAAGTAATAACCTTTTGTGGAAAAATCCTGTCAGGCTGGCCAGTTCATTGAGGAAAACTGGACTACTCCGGTATTTGTATTTAAAAACATTGCTGGCAAACTCTAGAGCTTGAAAACAGTTGAAAAAACCCCAAGGTGTAGTGCTTTGTCACAACGTGTAGCATTTCATATTGTAATCATAAATGACAGCCTTGATTCTGATGATTTGGGTATCACATTTGGGGCACAGTAAAATTTTCCTTTTTTTTTTTTTTTTTTGGTATTGGGACCTTGCGCTTGCAAGGCAGGCGCTGGAACCACTGAGCTAAATCCCCGGCCCAACAGTAAAATTTTCAACGTGTCCAAAACCTGGGTAATTTAAGAAAATCTTTAGAGTTGTGACTAATAGTTTTTAGAAACCATTATTTCTGGGATTGCTTGACTTATTTTTATATCCATTGCTTTACTATTTTGTTAAGCTAGCTACCTTTTCTGCATTACAAATAAACACCTACCATGCTTTAATATTTCTAGTTACTGGATTATCCGTTAGTTTGTTTGCTTTAATGTTGTAGGGATAAAAATACTGAAGGGTTGTTCCTACAAGCTGGTTTTAATTTTGAGGGATACATGTTACCGATCACTGCTGCTGCTCTGCTAGATAATCACTTGGAGGGGGAAATGTTGGAATTTTTGTATAAAAGTGAGTTCAAATATAAAATTTATTTTCAAACATGAAGTTAAATATTCATAAAAATTAAAGCTTTCATTATAGTGCTAGATGAGTATTAACACTGTAGTTAAAAAATACACCTCAGTGTCTGCTTTTTGGAGTAGCTGTCAGAGGTGGCTGTAATAGAAGTGGTGTGTGACCTTTATGAATCTTCAGGTTTTATGTAAAATTGTGGCTTCAGTTTCCCAGAATTACAATGATTCCTAAACATTTATTGAGAAAAGTGATTAAAATAGCAGTAAAATTTCCAAATCAGTTTAAATGGTCTATGACCCAAGTAAGTTTCTGAATGTTATTTTATCCATAGAAATGAAGTCCATCTTCAACTTCTGTTTTTTCTCTTTCCCTTTTGGGTTTCCTTTTGGCCTGGGGCTACTAGTTCTTTTGGTACAATGAAAACAGTTCCATCATGGCTGCACTGAAGTATATACTGGTCTGGATTAACTGGCCTACCTTGGTCATCGCTTAATCTACTAAAAACATGATAAAGGTCATTCAGTTTCTGTTTCATTATATTAATAGCTTTGTTATATTGGGCTTGCTCTCTCTCAAGGGTTTTCTTTCTTGCTTGCAAATTGCACACTTCACCTTCTAAATTCAAAATTATGTCTAATTTGCGCTTACGACAGTTCTGAGCAGCAACTTTATTTTTCCCTCTTCGTCTGATGTCACGCATCAGTGAGACTTGTAAGTCTGTCAGATAGTGCCTGCTTAACATGCTGTTGAAAGAATCAACAGGCATGCGGATAATTTCTTCAACAGAAAAAGGGATACGCAGAGCTTTAGCACGCCGTTCGTCACGGCTCAAATTTTTATCTGTGTTGTTGAAATACCTATTCATTTTCTGAGATTTCCCAGACGTTGAAAAAGATTGAGAAGTGGGTTCTGGTACACCTGGCTGTAAGTGGTAAGTGTGATTGTGAAATACGAGATCTTGGAAACCAGCTTCATAACTGTGATCCATGTGACAGAGCATACTGTGTTCTGGGCAATAACCACCAACAGCCCCTTCTAAATCATGTCCGGAAAGATTTTTAAGGTCACTAGTATAACTTACAGCATCTTCATTACATGTAGAATAAGAATTAGACTTGGTGATGGATGTGTTATGACTCAAATTTAACGACAGTCCAGAATCAGAATCTGGTTCCTGAAAAGAAACTTCCATTGGATCAAAACCTTCCACAGCCAATGATAGTAAGTTTATCTCATCAAATATGTTTGCATCAAGGCCATACAGAAGATCTTGGCTTGTTAGATTCCTCATCTGATTGTCAGCAGGTGGGTGAAATTCTGTCAGATTAGTACCAGGAAGGGTCTGCAGAAATGGTTCTTGTGTCTGTGAAGTCCTTGTTACTGGATCTCTTCTAAACGTGTTGGGGGACAGCAACATGGCTTCATGAAGATTTACGTCATGACTTATGGCCTGGCTAAGATTTACATTATGTGCTGAAGAATTCATACCATCACTGATAGTACTTTGAAAAGGAGTATCTTCCAGTGAAACACCCTGAAAAAGGATGGAAAAAAGCACTTTAAATATACAAAAGCCTATTTCAAAAACAATTCTTATTACCTAATACAACGTGGCTCACTTTTGTCAATTCCTGTATACGAACAGGGATGTGCTGCTGGCTATGAATAATTCCCTAAAGTATAGGCAATGCAATCTGTGTTTTTTTTTGGTTTTTTTTTGGTACTGGGGATTGTGAACTCCGGGACCTGGACCTTGCCCTTGCGAGGCAGGCACCGGAACCACTGAGCTAAATCCCCGGCCCAGGCAGTGCATCTGATATGAGCCCAAATCAATATGGTGACTTGAAAAAAAGGTAAAAATTTTGATTAGGTATTAAAGTTGATCTCGTTACTAAATCTAATATTGGTATAATTTACTAGTCCTTGGCAATCTAAACCCACATTATAGCTCAAGGGTAATCTAGTGAAGCATTCTGTGGAGGGGAGAGGTTTTTAAGCGTCATAAATTATGACATGCTACCAGAAAAAACTCCTTTAGTTTGTCAGATGTTTGCTATTTTGCTACCATGTGAGTGAGTGGTAAGTTTGATGTATTTCATACCTTTGGGATTATTTGGAAGGAGGAATTTACATATTTAATTCTACAAAGTTAACTTTCTATAAAAGGCATGTGGGCCAGGGATGTAGCTCAGTAGTGCTGTGGCTGCCTGGCAAGTGGAAGGTCCTGAGTTCCATCCCCACTATGGGGGTGGGTGGGGCATAAGGCCTATGTGGTTAATGACCCCCTTGATAGTAAATACTGCATTTGTGTTACATTAAGCTGCTGTGTCATCCAAGTAAGAGGGTTGTATTTATTCACATGAAGGTCACTGCAGATTATGATTCTGTAAGGATAAAAGTCAAGATCCTAATTACCTCCAGAGAATATTCAGGCTGTGATGAGAGAAGCTGAAATAAGTCTGCATCTGTTCCATTTAGATGTCGCTAGGAAAAAAAGTGCATCATTCTTTAGACAAAAGACAAGTCATCATCTGGGACTTTAAAGACAACCAGGTCTTATCTACATAACTAGATGATTTATCCCTATTTTATTCCACAGTTTTACATGCTACTTTTATCCTTTATAGTACTCTTGGTGTTTTAATATGCATAAAGTAAAAAAAATCTTAAATCAGGACCTTTAACTCTAAACTCCATTTTTTGTTCTAACGAATGTCTCTATGTTTGGCTATTTTTAATTCCACTTTATTTTTGTCCATTGGTAGCCAAACCTGCCAGTTGGCTACATAATTATATTTATCCAAATGTCTTAACATCTTCATTGGTTGGTTCATCTAATTCCTGCCTTCAGGGTTTAGCTTGTTGGAATAACTTCTGTGAAGAGGATCTGAATAGTAAACACTGTTAGTTTTTATATCCTAGAATTTGCCTTCATGCTTACATGATACATTACCTGGTAAAAATACTAGCTGTAAGATTTTTCCTCAATACTTTGTTGTAGGACGTTTTTATTTATTTTTTAGGTACCAGGGATTGAACTTGGGTCCTTGAGCTTGCGCAGCAGGCGGTGAAACCACTGAGCGAAATCCCCGGCCCAGACATTTTTAATCAGTAGTGTTTGTTGTGTGATTATTTATAGCAAATGTTTTTCCTTGGATAATTTTAATTTTTTTCTTAGTTTCTGAGGCTCTCACTTAGATATGCCTGAGATTTCATTTGCTTGTATTTACTCTGATTAGAATTTTTATATACTCCTTTAAACCAAGGACCATTTTAATTCTGGAAACATTTTCCTATACTTTCGTTAAATGTTTCTTCTTGGATATTTTCTGCGCTTCTAGGAGCCCTATTAGGAATAACAAGATTTTTCTTTCATATTTTGCATCCTTCTCTGTGGTACACTGGGTCATTTCTTTGGCTCCCAATATACACCCCTCCCACCCTCCGCTGTTGTTTTTTGAGAAGAGTCTTCCTATGTAGTCCAGTCCAGGCTGGCCTCTTGAACTTGCAGCAATCCTGCCCCAGCCTCCTGAGTGCTGGGCCTGCTATCATGAATCTTTTCTATATCCACTTTTATGATAGTCTGTTCTTGACTTACAAATTTTTTCTTTTAAAGACCTTGGGCCGGGGATTTAGCTCAGTGGTTTTGCCACCTGCTGTGCAAGCAAAAGGACCCGAGTTTAATCCCTGGTACCAAAAAAAAAAAAGACCTTAATTTTGGAGTACTTTTTAGATAAGTTATGCTTTTTTGGGGGAGGGGCACATGTTGACTCATGGCTAATCTGAATTTCTTAACTTTTAAAAGGGACCTCATGTTTGTTGGAAACCCCCGACAGTTTTACATTTTTCTGCCCAAGTATCAATGTTTATACCAACTTACTAAATTTTAGGCTCTTGGCCCAAGATTCCTCATGGTGACCATAGTGTAGATTCAGACCCTATATTTAGTTTTGAGGCCCCTTTGAGTTTGATTCTAACAGGTGAAGAGTTGTCCCAATCCAAATTTCTTGGACATGAGAGCCTTAAAAATGTTGAATTTTTAGGAAGCCTACATTCCCCCAAGCATGGGCTTGAGAGATTTGTATCCCATCCACTAAACCCAGCCTGTCATACCTGGTTCCAGTTCTTTGAGACTGTTCAACTTCAGTACCCAATCACCTTAAATTCTAAATTTGAGTTCCTTCATTATTTCTTGTATCTACAGAATTCCTTTTCTTCTGAGTTATGTTAATTCATTTAAGTAGGATATCTACATTTTTGGTGTGTGCAGAGGGAGTATCTTATAGTGAATTCATAATCCCAAATGAGGTACCCTTGTTCTCCACGTCACTCCCACCCCCTAAACATTTATTTTAGGGTTTCCTTTTTTTTTATTCAGTTGGGTGTGTGTGTGTACACATAAATACATTGTGTCTTTTCTGCAAAATACCCTGAGTTCTATGAAGCTGTGTTTTTCAAGGCCCATATTATGTTAGACTTTGTCTATACATGCAGTAGGACTTTTTTTGGGGGGGGGGCGGGTACCGGGGATTGAACTCGGGTCCTTGTGCTTGCGCAGCAGGCAGCGAAACCACTGAGCTAAAATCCCCGGCCCTGCAATAAGACAATTAAGTTCAAGCTAAATGGGTAATGGGTAAGATTTCTTCTCTGCTCTTATTTAACTTGAAAATTAAACATCTGAGTGCATAATAGGCTTCTCGGCCAAATGGATTGTTGTTTAAAATGAGTCCTTATTGGGCCGGGGATTTAGCTCAGTGGCACTGGACCTGCCTTGCAAGGGCAAGGTCCTGAGTTCGATCCCTAATAACCAAAAGAAAAAGACCTTGTTTCTTAATTTTCAGAAGCGTTTTGTTCTGTTAATGGTCCTAAATTTAGGCTTAGTCCTTGGCTGACCAAAATTTGCTGTGAATGGTGGATAAATGGTGTTATCTGCTGTAAAAGAAGCCTTAATTAAAATATGGAACTATGGATATGAGGGCCATTTTGATTGAAGTGAATGAATTTAGAGATTGGTCCTTTAGGCTACTCAAAGTTGGGTTTAATTTTTTTGCTTGTTCCCTTCAGTGCCTAGGAAATGGAAGGCTCAGGGGCTAAGCCCTCCCTACCAGGCTTTATAGCCCAAGTTGGGTGGTGTTTCCCCACAGGAGATAAAAGAGGATGAGAGGTGAGAAAGATTCTCTTAAAACAAAGCATCTCTGTTGGATCAGTTCTAGCTGTTGGTGAGTTTTCTTCAGATTGCCTTCTGTACAACTGGTTGATAACAGCTTCAGAAACCTGCCATAACCTCAATCCCTTCAAATGTCTTAATCTCATCAGGGTGCCCCCTCATCACATTTGATGATTTTAATTGGAAAGGATTCTTGTTTGCAGATAGTAGATGACAAGTTTTCCTGTCTGCCACACCTGAGAAATCACACAGCACAGAACAATTTTGAGATACTTGATTTTATGGAACTGGGCCATTTTAAAATCTAATTTTTTTTTTTTTTTTTGGTGGTACCAGGATTGAACTCAGGACCTTGCGCTTGTGAGGCAGGTGGCAGTACCACTGAGGTAAATCCTAAAATCTAATTTTTTTTTTTTTTTTGGTGGTACCAGGATTGAACTCAGGACCTTGCGCTTGTGAGGCAGGTGGCAGTACCACTGAGGTAAATCCTTGGCCCTAAGTTTTTTTCTTTTTTTAAATTGTCTTGTTTTTTCCTTAAGCAGGAGAAATTTTACATAAACATGGACAGCTGAACCATTTAAAAAATTAATCCAGCCTGGTAGGGTAGCACACACCTATAATGGCAGGAAGAAGATCCCAAGCTTGAGCCTGACCTGTGCAATTTAAGGAGACCCCCATCTTAAAGGGGGTGGTGGTGGTAGTGCTGGGGATGCAGCCCAGTGCAAAGGTCCTGGTTCAATCCCCGGTACTGCCAGAACAAAACAAAACAAACATTAAGAGTTACACATACTCAGTTTGATTTAGATTGCTGAGAAATCAGCCATTTGTATTTCTCCTTATTAACTTTCATATAAGATAAGAACAAGTTTCCATTTTAGGTCAAGAATTGATTGCATTTTACACAGACCACTAATAATATTCAGATAACATGGTAGATAGACATTCAGTTTTATAAGACAGCTTAACACATGAAACTATGAAGCTATTTCTCTAGCTGGAAGAGAATTTCTTCAGGCTACTTTACATATATTACGTATTCGTTAACTGGCTACAGTCTTAAGTATATGACTATATAGGGGCTACAAAAACAGAAATGCCAATGATTCAGTGATCTGACATTTCATTTGTTTTCTTTAACAAACTGAAAGCATCTACTAAATATCCTAACAAAAGGGCCAGCAAAAATATTCTCAAAGCTACTCTATATAACGTGTAGTTTGCAATACACAAAGATAGTATGTAAATGCTAACTAAACATTGGATAGCTGGGGATTTAGCTCAGTGGGTCCAGTGCCTGCCTTGAAAGCACAAGGTCCCGAGTTTGATCCCTGGTACCAAACAACAAAACAAAACAAACATTGGATATAATGTAGGAACAAAAAGGTAACGATGAAAAGGGGAGCCACTCAGAACTAAGGCACTGATGCCTTGCTTTAAGTGATTAATGTGTTTGGCATCAAATTATATTTTAACTTCTCCAAGAAAGCTCCAATTTTCATCTATTACTAAATGTGTAGTAGTGAATATGTTACTACAGGTAACTCAAAGAAATAACACTTTTCTGAGAAACCAAGGGAGTAAAGGCAAAGACATATTCCAAGGACAAAAGTAAGGAATAACATACAGTACTATATAAGTGTTAAAGAAGTGATAGACTGGTAAAACATCCTTTTCCTCATAAAAGAGAACTGAGGAACTCAGGAAAGTGTTGCCTCTTTCAAAATCTTTCAGTATTCATATGGCAAACAGGAACTAATTTGGTATGTGTGTGTGGGGGTTAAAGCCACACAAAAGGTACATGACTGAGGAAACAAAGTACATAAATTAGAAAGGCAGCAAGAATACTAGCTGGGGAAAAAGCACAGACAGGTGCCAGATACTTCTGCATTCTGAAGTAAAATGCTAGGCAAAGATTGAGGATTATGAAAGGCTTGAAGCTAGAGAAGTTAGGAAATGAAAATATGGTTAGTAATTACCTCTCTCACTTGGAGAATAGCAAAAAGACTTTCAAGAAGGCTATTTAAAACTTAAGTGTATGCTCCTGTAGTTTGATGACAGAGTAGCTTCCCTGAGAAATATAAGAGGCAAAAGGTCAAGCAAGGGCTGTAGTTAGCAAAGGGGGGGCTGAACTGAAGAATGCGAAGAGCATGTGTCCAGGGCCATATGCTAGACAGCTATCAAGTGGCTGAGAGGGTGACCTGGAGAGGTGAGAGAGTGAATATACACGGAACCCTAAAGGATCAGCTAGGGGTAGAGATGCATTTGTCCCTGTCGGGCAGTAGGGCAGGTGGAGAACTCCCAGCTACCTGGCAAGGATCCCCAAAGAACCTATGAAATAAAAGTGCCTGTCTAAATTGAAAATACACATCTGACAAAGTTTAAATGTATCCCAGTCAGAGAAGGGAAACTTTTGGGGTTGATACCCATCAACACCTTTCCTGAGTTCTTATGACCAATACTCCCAGGCTCAGAGAAGGCAGCCTAACCATCAGGGAAGGACAAACTGGGGAAACAGGTGGCTCCATGCACTCTTTTCCATACTAAGCCTTGTGAGTGCAGCAGATGAAGAACAGTGGGTAGGCAAAGAGAACAAAGCTGTTTCTGATTTTATGGAATAAAATGATGTTTGGTGTCATGTTAACACAGTAGACTACAGTGGTGATGGGCTGTCTGAGAACAGCCCAAGAATGGTGTTCTCTGTCTTCCAAGGGTGTTCAAGGCTCACCCCCAAACTACCTCTTGGGGAGGAGACATGCTGAAACATGACAACCATCAGGGAGTCAGGGATTTAGCTCAGTGGCACTGCACCTGTCTCACAAGCACAAGGTCCTGAGTTCAATCCCCAGTACCAGGCGGGGGAAAAAACCATCAGGGCAAGACCTGCAAGAGTGCTGCTTGCAGGTGGAACTGCCATGTGGTTAAGTCAGTGGAGCCTCCGAGCACCTGTGACAGCAAAACCTCAGCAGGGCTGAGCAGAAATCAGAGTATGGTCCATGGGAAAGAAGCGGGGAAACAGGCATAGGAAGAATCTGCCCCTTAAGCCTGGCTCCTGGAGTTTATCTTTCTATTCCTCTTCTCTGGGGCTTAGACAATGAGGAGCCAAGGATGTGATCCATTGGGCTGGCCCCTTAGCAGAGGCTAGAGGCACAAAATAGGCTCCTGGAGGCCAATGGATTGATTGGGTTGGCCCATGGCAGACTGAATGAAGATCTGAGCCCAAGCTTTCTCTCCTGGACCTGATCAGCTGCTTGCTTCCCAGATCCCTGGGTTAAGAATGACAGTCATCTCTTTATCTCTTATTTGCAAGCACAACTAGCAAAACCTGCTAGCATGTTCCTGGGGGATATAAAACAATTGCTGATTCCTTTAAGTCTAATACTACTCCCATAATTTTGTGTTTTCCTCCTGTATCAGATTGCTATTAATAGCACAACTACACAGAAGATTAATTTCTCAACATAATCTGTCAATGCCACAAAATCTGCATGAAAGCCAAAATGGCAAGGCAGGATTATTATGATGTACAGTACTTACTTCCTTTCTAGATTCAGTGGTCTTTGCTACCTCCCAGTCAGATTCATCTGCTGTTTTGTTTTTATCTTCATTATTCTGCTGCTGTAGTGATTTCTCCTGAGATGATTCTGTTTCATTCTCTTCCTGTCGGGAACTTCGAGCCACAGATTCACACTTCTCTCTTAGTACCTCATTCTCCTATAAAAGGGTCCAAGAATATACTTAGTAGGAATCTGTATCATCAAATAAGTCTATAAAATGGCATTGTACTTACTGTGTAGAGATCATGAAAACCTAGAAGTCAAAACCTAAGACCTGTACATTTCATTACTTCAGTATCAAAGAAACATTTAGTTTAGAAACAAAGGTCAGTCTCATGCCCTGTCTTCCTTAAGTATTCATTCTGAGACAGGCTGTTCTAATCTGCAAAATTTAAATTATATACACTTATTAAGCCTCTGGATTTAAAATATTTAGAAATCAATGTTGTCACCTGACAGTTTTTATTTAGTTCTCTGTTGAAACATCATACAGCTAAGTTGGAAAGAAATATAAATATATGTAGAAAAATCTGGGAAGTGTTTTATAAACTAGTAACTGTTCTCTCTGGAAGGCAAAATGGGTTGGGGAAAAGCTGAGGAAAAGTTGACACTTGACTATGTAGACATGTGTAACTACTTGAGTATTTTACAATACATAAATGATCCTTTTACAATTTAGCATGTACTGCTTACACTGACACTTTCAACTATGATATTAACAGCTCTGTATACTTGTTTCCCTTTAACGTCAAGGTTTCTCAAAGCTCTTTCAAAGGATCTTTTTCTGAATTCTAGAAACATGACACTAACTGGACTAACTCAAGGATAGCACCCCCAAAAACCCCACAAAAAAGTTTATCTTAAAAAAAAGAAATGAAAAAAGAAGTGAAAATATACAAATGCACAAGCAAGGAGAGAAATCAAAGAGCAGCAAAAGCACACTGATCTTGTGGCCCACTTGGTTTTCCTGGCTTCCCTCTCTATCTGTACTTAGCTCTGGCATACTCTGCCTTGCCTCCTGACACTGGGTTATTATCCGTGTTCCCAGCGCAGGCACAACCTGCCACATGTGCTCAAGGGTGGCACCCGCTACTCTCCCCTGTCTCTGCATCAGCAATTGTTTGCTGTCTGCTGGGAACTCCCATCAGCCTTCTAATGGCCACTAATCCCTCCCAACTTTAAAAACTCTCCGGTCCCATACTACTCTTTGGCTCTATCCCATTTTTTCTGCTCCCCTTTGGAACAAAATCCTCCAGTTATCTGGATTCAATATATTCTCAAACCTATTCTAATGAGATCTCACCGCTCCACTGAAATAGCTCACTGAAGGGCCACCCAAATCTGAGTTTCCACCCTCATCTAGCTCATCAGCAAAATCTGATTTAGTTACTTCCCCCTCCTAGAAACAGCTTCTTCAACAGATACCCAAGTACCTCCCTCTTTATTCTCCTAGGTCACCAAGGGTTTTCTGCTTTGTTAATTCTTCCTCTGATCTCCAAACAGCAATTCTCCAAGACTCGGTCCTCATGCCCACCATGTACTGCCTGACTGCAGCCTTGGATGGGCCACTTCTCCACCTGTGAAGTTCTCTCCGCCTCCAACCCTACCCTCTCCTCTTTTCCTTCAGCTCTCTCTTCAGATACTGGTATTACCATTTCATTTCCTTTCTTAACCACTTTCTATTAAAAAAAAAAAAAGCTCAGCCAGGAGTGGTGGCACAAAACTTGGGAGGTTGGGGCAGGAGGATTTCAAGTTTGAGGCTAGCCTGGCTACACAGCAAGAACCTGTCTCAAATCAATAAATTCTAAAACACTTCCCTAACATCTATGTCCCACGTCTTGTTTTATTTTTTTACAATGTACTTAACACCAGCTGATACATTATATATTTGTTTGTTCCCAGAACAAGGACTCATCATACAGTCTTAATAGACATCCACTGAATAGCTGAATCTAAGACTGGCTGTGTTCCTACTTCTGATGGATGGCTCTTTCCTTCAATTACAATTCTGATTTCTAGTTAAAAGAGTGGCTGCCACTCTTTTTACCTCTCATCTTTTGCTCAAAGTTTCTTTTGTTAAACCTGAAGATTATCAAATTCAAAAGTCTGGATTCCCGAGGCAGACAACTTTGTTATAAATTCTGAACAGAGGAACTCCTAATCTCTAAATTACATGATCTGTTTTAGAAGCACAAAGCAAGGTGCCCTTAGTTAATCCATAGTGTGAGTTAATAGCACACAGAAACATGAGACTGTTACCTGCAATAATACCTAAATAAACAGGACTAAATCAAGCCCATATGGAAAGTGATCATGAAAACATTAGCCTAGGTTTATGGGGAGGGGGGCAGAGCAAGGTAAGATTGTTAAAGTATCTAAGATGGCCTGAGAACCTCAAGGAGAGAGACTGAAGGCAGAGAAACTATGTGACCCAGAACACCACACTGCAAGAAGCCAAAATTAGGTTAAAAATCCTATCATAATAATAGATTGTAACTCATTGAGTAAAGAGTAAAAGAATGAGTCCACTTGAATATAAGCAACCATGAATAGTAGAAAAACAGAAAATCTCTTCCTTACAGTGGGATACAACTAATAAATACAGAAGGAAAATGGTGGAGCTAGAAAATCATCAAAGCATAATAAAACTAGGGAGAGGAAAGTAAGACTTAAAAGTCTCAAAAGTTTCAGAGCAGATTACTTGTTAATTACAAAAAGAAAAATAACACTACAGGAGAAATCTTGGCAGGCAGCATCTTACTCAAGTGTTCAGATCCATCAAAATTATTGAAGAACTTTTCCAGATTAAAGATGACCAAAGAGATATAGACTAAACACAATGCATGATCTCGGGTTAGATGATGATCCAGGACAAAAAGTAGCTACTAAACCACATCTGTCTGGGGCAACATAGATTTTGAATATAGACAGTAGACTAGGTAATAGCTTCTTGTTAAATTTCCTGATTCTGATAACTGGCTATAGAAAAGAAAGGTCTTAGAAAATACACACTAAAGTTTCTGGACATTAGGAGATATGATGACTTTACTTTGTTCCAGAAAAAAATTACCTATGTAGTATTTGTACACATGTAATATTAAATATATAATAGTTGAGCTGGGGATTTAGCTCAGTGGTTCCGGCGCCTGCCTCGCAAGTGCAAGGTCCCGAGTTCAATCCCCGGTACCAAAAAAAAAAGTTATTAATACAGAAAAACCAAATGGGAAAATGCAAACAGGAAATCTGGGTAAAAGATATATCACTCTTGAAATCTTGCAATTTTTTATGTTTAAAATTATATTCGGGGTAGGTTACTCTACAAATCTCTACACAGTAAATTCACTTTGCCCAATGTAACAGTAAAGTGTTGACCTGAATTATTTTTCCATTAAATTTTCTGTTAATTTATATTCTCCCCAAAGATATAATTAGTTACTGCTTCCTTTGCAACATTTAAATTTCATATTTCATTTTCCTAATTGCTTTGACTATGTTTCCACAATGTGAAAAAAATTCTAATGTTTCACTAATAAGGATGCCATGTAGACTTTTTTGGGGTGCAATTCCAGGCCCAGGTAAGTTTTACTTGAGATACAGTCAATCATTTCTTAACTGAGTACTGTACATATAATACATAGATGCTGGGGATACAACTGTTGGAAAAAATCCATTTAGACTCTATTATTCAGGATTGTAAAGGAAGGAAGGGGGAAAATACAAGTGAACAAAATAACTGAAAGTTATGGTAAGTGAACAGGCTTGCTATGCAAAAAGGAGACAAATGCATTCAAGGCACTGGTGATATCCAAACAGAATACTCATTTGCCTCACTATTCCCATAAAATAGTGAGCTTCTTTTTTTACCTTAAGATTACATTTACTGGCCTAATTATCTGCTGTTCTTTAGACTCTACAGTTGACATAGGAAGGCCAAGATGGTAATTCTCTTTTTTGGGGGTCAACTGCTATGATAACTAGTATCATTCAGAAAAATTAGGGGTCATTACATTTTCTTTTATTAATTAATTAATTTATTTATTTATTTTGGTACCACAGATTGAACTCAGGACCTTGTGCTTGTCAGGCAGGTGTAGCGCCACTGAGCTATCCCCAGCGGGGATTACATTTTCTTGAACATTCAAATTTCAACTTAAGAATTCAATTTTTTCAAATAAAAATGCTATGTCCTATAGCTAGGAATATAAGGATTTGGGTTATTTATGTTGGAATAATGGCTCTCCTGTCTGGGGAAGTTATTCTCTGCAGTTAGGCACTGGGAGATGGGGAATGAAACCTAAGAAGGTAAGGATCTTTTCTGGAACAAAGCTAGTTACCAGTGATCACTGTGGTTAGAGTTCCAGATACAGTGAGAAGTTGATCTTCTATTCTCTCTTCCTGAATTATACCACTCTGGTTAACAGTTGGATTGAAATATGATGGTTAAACTTTCAAAGTCTTCATTCTTTAAGTGTAATTCTTCAAGCAGGATAGCTATAAACTGTAATTCAGAGAATGCTCCTGAATGCCAAGAACTGGGATGATAGTAACACCATTGCAATAAAAGTCCACTCTGTAGCTTAGTGTATAATAATTGTTAATCTGGAAGTTTAGACAAGATTTTCAAGTTGAATGTAAATATCTTCTAACGTAATCTGAAGAGAACCTAAAAATCCAGGCAATAATTTTTCAAGTACGATGTATTTTCTACATCTGCTTCTGGGAACTTGAATCAGGGGAAAGGTGGGATCATGTTCTTCTGGGTCTTATGATACAGTGGTTTCCTTCATTCAGAAAGGTACCATCCTCTATAAAATTCCCTGATCCTCAGATTTTGATGTTTCAGTTTCTTTTTTCAAGTTCTCATAACTTGGTAGTGGCTTAATGGCTGTATCAGAGCCTCTGAAAAGTAGACTCCTAAAGGCTATTCTGAGATCCCCTTAAGGGAATGGTTATGTGAGTCAGAGTTTTTGTCATCTTCATCAAGTTCTTCACTAATGAGATAAGCTGAAGAGGGTTTCAGACATATAGAAGAATAATTTTGGCCCTACAAAAACCTTAAGGTTTCTTCTGTCTTCCATGTGAAGTCTCTTTCAGAACTGTCTTTGCAACTTTGCACCTGCATGGAGCTAGAGGCTGACCTAGAATCTTGGTTTGACT